CGTTGGAGGTAGCTGCCTTCCTAGACCGAAGAGCCTGGTCGTTCTCTTGTGTCTCATAATCATGACAAAGTCCTTGTAAAGGTCTCACTTTGCTTACTGCGTTGATTATCGCCACTTTTCCTGTACTGTCGGTGGTAGGTGATGTCTGCTGTTAGTGCTTGAGCTATCGCGGAAGGGCGCCGTTATGTCTTGGCTTGCAGAAATGGCTAGACTAGACAGGGATTCCGGATTTGTGAGATTATGGAATCGTGACAGAGCATTGAAGAATTTATTTTTTTCATGTTTTCTCTCTAAACTTGGAAGTTAGCGTGCAGTGGTTTTCCTCTGGTAGAATGGTATAGGTCAAACTTGAATTCACCATCACTTGGTTTCGGGGTCCATTTTAGATTGAATCCCGGTATAACCAGCTTAATTCGAGTAGTTATTTTTTTTAAAAAAAGAAAAAAAAACTACAGCTGTTTAATTTGGGTCTCGTAGCGATGGTTTCAAGGCTCACTTATTGAATCGAGGTAGATAGGTAAATGGGAAGAAGTATAAAATAGAAAAATCTATGCGCTGGTGCTACTGTTCCTGCAATTTTAGAGATCTATACATGCTAAGATGCTCCAAGTTAGCATTTTCGAGTCCCGAATATACTTATTTATTTTCGGAGGTGCTCCGACCGAAACCGGGACTTAGATTTCCGAGATAGGGCTTTATATCAATGATTCTAGACCAAAAGGTTATTAAAGCCTATATAATTACTCGTAATATACTAGCCGTTGAATATTCGTGGACTCCATACGGAGTAATGAGAAATCGGTTAAAAACACATCAATGGCCTCATATTTTTTTGGATTATGCTTTGCAAAATACGCCGAATGAGCCTAAAGCCAAGGAATTTTTTCGGTGATCCCTGAAACCTGAAATTAATCTGGAAATTGGCTTAAAAAGCCCAACTGGTCGGCTCGACAATCCGTAACTAAACCTGCACGTTATTTTGTGTATAAGCCGCCTGTCAGCTGCCTGTCAGCACTACAGAACCTTCCACTCAGCTGAATATGTATCTAAATTAAGTCTAGTTTACTATATATATATTTTCATGGCTTTTTTTTCCTCGGCTCGGGTTCAAAAACCCTGAAACATCCATAGAAGTCATGGAGACATGTAATTTATCACATAATTCCTGCCAAGCCTTAACAAAGCCATTATATATTTTTCATCAGAATTATCCTCTGATTATTGACATAGGCTGATTATGGAATCGGATGGAACAAGGTTTATGGAGATCTACATCCTATTAGGTGAAACCATTGAGCCATATTTATATTGTACTTCGTACTGAGGCTGAAATTTGCTTTTTTTTTTGGTTCCTCCAATTGATGTAAATAGCCTGACTTCGACCTAAGTCCTAATATTCGATGATAGCGACCGCTAGACTTATGAGAATATATATATCTAGTCTATCCTTCTATACTATCGAAACATTATATTACTACCATGATCTAGAAAAAGTTTACATAATCTACTATAGAATATGATCGCGTAGCAACCACTACATAGCTATTGAATATATAATCCACATGACCTTGGGATAAATGCTGAAAACGTGTTCTACACGATAGTACAACTGTTCAGCTCTTTATTCTAGCGCTAACCGGTTATAGCCTTGCTCATAGGCAGTTATTCGTTTGCTATGAGAAACCGTTTTCTTTCCGTTGTTTTATAACGTGCAAATACTTATCAAAACACGAACACTAGGGCCATCGGGTTGTTGCATAATAAAGCCATGGGTAGTGACAGGGCCACTGATACCTGCATAACGAGGGAGCTGTACTAATAATGTCTGAAAAGAGGTGTGTTAAATTATTTGAGCCTAAATTGTAAGTATATAGTACTACATAGTAACATTGTAGTACTAGGCCACTTAATAGGATTAGACAATACTTTTCAATCATATAGATAATAAAGTGTCCTTGAGAATCGTATATGAAATTTATTTATACGTTGTGCGACCGGGATGTCAGATCGCAGCTAAGAGACTAGTTCTGCAGGTTTGCGTAGATGGGCCTTTTGAGGGGTCACAGCTCTTGGCTGCATTCCTGAACCCAACATCATCTTGTGCACACACTCGTTAACTCCTCTCTTCCCAAGGTGCTTTCTTGACACTCGTTTGTATTTTGTATTTTGTTTGCCTTTCCGGTTCGTGCGTTTCTACCATTTGTTGGTTTGCTTTTGGGCTGGGCATAACCGCTATGCTAGCTGCTCCATACGAAGCCATTTGGACCTCTGGGAAGACCTTGCCCCGGACTAATGTAACTGATGTCTCTTTGTTATGGAAGGTGGTAGCAGCCTGCTTTGCAGCTTTACAGTTAGTCGGGTGAGTTTGATACGAGATGTAAGCTTTACTTGGGAACTGGAGATTGTTAATTATAGAGTTGCGCTGCTTAGGTATATGATTCTGGCTGTAGTAGTCAGTTCCCCTCCTCAAGAGTTGCGAATCAATACTACAGTATCCACTGTTATTGGATTCGTGCTTGTTGGAGCGTCTTACGGCGTATCAGCCCTGATTGCCTTCGCCCAGTGCCACCAAATGATGTTCCTCCTCCACTCAATCTTTATGTGAGTATCAATGAAACCCGCGTGTCTTTGATTGGCCATCGGCTAATAATTACAGCCCATACTCGACGATGAATTTGCTCGCGCTTCTGAATATCCTGTTCCATATACAGGGGCGAAGCCTACAGTTGAGCGCTCTGCATATCGTGAATATCTGCTTACCCGCTGCTTTCTCGATGTGTTATGCTCTCGCAGCGAGCTTGGTATGTCGAGAGTCACGCCGTCGTCGAGTGGAGGAAGGTACCCCGCTACTCACCGACGAAGAGATGCAACGTCGTCAGTTGCTTCGCTTGTTGGGGGAACGAAATACCAGAGCGCCATCGCCTGAACTTGTGCGAAACACTTATCGCTTCGATTTACCTAGGGGCGAGACAGTACAGAAGGACTGGAATAATTTGACTGCTTGAAACATGCTGTAGCATAGGATAATATCGGATATGAGTATGAAGAGAAACAAGTAATTAATGTGAAATTTGTTGAATAATATAATATTACTATATCTTGTGCACAATGTGTACAATATGTGTACAATGTACTCCGTAGTAATCCCTGGGGCTGTGTGTAGATGAGAAATCCCCTTGGACCTCGGCTGTTTTTCGCGCCGAGCGCATTTAAAATCCAAGGAACCGTCATCCCTGAAATTCATTCCTGGTTTTTGATCTCTCTCACAATTTACAAATATGTCGAAACGCGTGACGATTTTCGATCCGCCCGCGCAGGATCATTCCAAGGCTCTTATCGAAAATGTACTCGATCTGACGCCAGTAGTAGACCTCGGCCCAGTATGACATCCCCGGTTCTTCTGTCGCGACATACTCTAACAAAACACTCTCGGTCTTTAGGATGTCTTCACTAATACCCGCCCGCTATGGCATCCCCCCGGAGCTCGAGGCATTTACGGTGGTGCCGCGATCGCGCAATCCCTATCAGCCGCCATGCTGACCGTCCCCGCCGACTACGCCGTCCATAGCATGCACTGCTACTTCGTCCTTGCCGGCGACTCCGAGATCCCCATTTTATATCACGTCGAGCGTGTACGCGACGGAAGAAGCTTTGTAACCCGAACCGTGCAGGCGCGGCAACGGGGGCGGCCAATTTTCACCACAACGCTGAGCTTCAGTCGAGTCGGTAGTGGTGGTGAGAAGACCGTTCACCACGCCGTATCAAAGCCAGATGTCCCATTGCCAGAAGAAGCTGAGCCGGGAAGTCTGAAAGCCCTCAGCAATGCGGGCGGCGGTCCATTTGAATCAAGGAAGGCGGGCATTTTGAACCGTATGTCTCCCCGGTCGGAAGCTCCATGCTGTGCATGTTGTACTAATGGGCTGTCGTAATCAAACAGGCACATCCCCCAACCAAGAAGATAAGAGGGTTCGGCGATACATTCGCGCCCGCGGCGCAATCTCCGAACAGGGTGGTCACCAAGCACACTTATCGGCGCTTGCATATATCACCGACAGTTATTTTATCGGTACAATCTCACTCGTCCATGATATCCCACGATTCTCTTCCCCAGCCGAACTTGAGAAACTCCTAAATGCACTTAAGAACCCATCTGATCTCGACGATGAGGATATCACACGAGCTCTGAAGGAGTTGAAGGAAGAGGAGGCTGCAGAATTGCGACGCCGTGTGGAAGGGGCCTTGAATAGGGTTACGATGGGTCAAAAGGAGGTAAACCATAAAGAGGTTGGCATGATGGTCAGCCTGGACCATTCAATCTACTTCCATAATCCATGGGCATTCCGTGCCGATGAGTGGATGTTGACGGAGATGGAGAGTCCGTGGGCTGGCGAAGGACGAGGCTTGGCGATCCAGAAGATTTGGTCTAGGGATGGACTGCTTATTGCTACTTGCATGCAAGAGGTATGTGTGCGTTTATCTATTATGAAGCTTAGTACTAACTTGATCATAGGGTGTTGTACGGTTAAAGCAAGACAAGCCGCCACTATCGAAGATTTAAAGAGCTTGTGCTATACCCCTAGCTTAAAGGAGTTGTCTCCTGTCAGCGTGAACATATTCTTCCCTTCTTTTCACATATCTTCATCTATAGATTTTGGCTTAGTCCCCCCTTTGACTTCTTGATTTTGCTTTGTACTGAAACTGGGCCATTTTTAGCTATAACTGCATAAGCATGTTATAATTCAACAAATATCTGGAAGCCTTAATACATATTTTGTCTCTTTGTCTTCCGAAGACACAGTCTTCGTTAACAAACCAAAACGCAAAGACGCAAGTAAAAGATAATTGAAAACAAGAACAACACAACTTTTGTTGACAAACAAAAGGGCCGACCCATTTTTGATTTCCCAGAACCAAAATGCGAAGCAAAGACAAGGTATCCTACAAGATCCACTCAAACTTTAGTTCTCTGGTGTTTCTCATCATCCTCCTCGTTTCCTGTCTCAACTCTCACCAACCCGTTTCCGATGGTATTCCAAGACCTTAGCCCCCCAAACATCCCTCCCCTTATACTCACTCACACAATCAGGCCAGCTCTTCATCTCCTTGGCCAGATTATCCAGCTCGGCCATTGGGAGCTCATCCATCGGCGTGAGATAGGTCTTGACACCGAAGACAATCGCCCCTGTCCGCGGCAGTCGACGGAAAGTCTGTCTCTCGCGGCGGATCAGGATATCTGAAGGCAATGGGCTGCTCAACTTTTTCTCGCAGAGCGAATTGGGCCGATAGAGGATCTCGGTCAGGTTCTCATTTGGCTCCTTGACTTCTACGAAGTAGTTTGAGCGCTCCATTGGAGAGGCTGGGGTTAAACGGGCGAGAAATCTAGGGGGTTGGGGTTAGTTGATTTGTTTCTCTTTGGTTGTGCTCTTTGCAGCCATTTTCTCCTGATCTGGTTGTAATATCACTTACTTGCTGACAGAGTTGGCAACTTGTTGATGCCATAATGGCACCGGGCCATGCAGTTGAGAGATGGTCCAGCCAATTCTCTGGTTCACTGTCCACCCCGTTGGAAAGAGGCTGGCGCTAGCGGCCCTGTGTTAGTGTTAGTATTGGCCAATAGGCATTTGGGTGTGGATTTGGACATACAGGTAGAATTCTCCTTCTTCGTTCATCATCAAGATGCTGAGATCTTCCATCGTAAGACGGACAGCAGCTTCGAGTGCCTCTGTTGATCCCTCGTTGGTGTCGCGCCCACTGACAGTAAATTTGTCGCCAGTCATACGATTGTTGACAGTCTTACGGCCGTCTTGGATTGTCATTCCGAACGTATTAGGAAATCTCTCACAGAGAAAGTCTGAAACTTCCTCCAATGCCTCCTGGCACGGCTCAATTGACTCCGGCAAACAGCGTAGGACCTCTTCTCTTTTCTCGTGAAGCAATTGGGTCCGCACCCGGTGTTCGTCCATATAGTTCTTGTCGAGAGTAAGCCAATTATGGGCATCGAGCTTGCGGATATCCATCATCACGCGGTATCGCTCTCTCCCTTTGATGGGCTGCGCTGGGTACGGTGCCATACGCTTGATGTCGGGTGAATTGGAGACATTTGAGCAATGTTCCCCTTTCAACTTTTGTGTTAACCACTGGAGCAGTTGTTTTTGATGTCTAACTGCGAAGAGAAAGACGAAGATTGGAATTGCAACTAGTGAAAAGGTTGTCATTTCCAATTTAAGGAATATAGATCAAACTTTTTGGAAATTCAAAATCGAGAACGCTCAATGTCAAAGGAATAGAAAATGAAAGAAAGATGAATATGATAGATTGTGACCTAAACTAAACGATATAAATATGATTTTTTTTAAAAGGCTATGAAGTCATTGGAGTAGAAGATCACCAGACGATTCAAGTCAGCTTCACTAGTCCTAGTAAAAAGGATAGTTCAAAGGTATGGCAGCTGCATTCCACATTCCTCATTTAGCCAAGTTGTGCCTGCGGAACTGTTGTGATACGCTCAGGGTTTCCCCGCAAAAGTCAGAGTTCACCGGGGAGTACTAACAGCCACATGATCTCAGACCTGTTCTTTTTCAAATTTCATTTATTTTTCTTATGAAGTTCGAGGGGACAGGTATGGGCTGTGCAGCAAACATTTCCGAATTTGTGTGTAGAAGTGGAGAAGATGACAAGTACTTCGTATATAGAGTGTTTAACTGGTTGATCTTTCTTTTCTAGTCAAACAAGACTGATTGGAAATGACTTAGGGCCCATATTTATTCGGACCCCGTAAGGGCCTCCACGATCTAGACACAAAAATACCCCGACCTTAGCTTCAATCGTCAAGCTCGTTTATACCGTCCGTGCGTGCATGAACCGCTAGGGCTCAATAAAATAGCAATTGGGCGGATATCATCGGAGAGATTTGAAAGGCACTGTGTAAGATACCTAAAGCCCGAGAGTACCGGTCCTTAGGTCCTCTGTTAAACGGTTCCAGTTAATATATTAGATCTAACTGGCCCGGGGATAGGCCGGGGGGGCCGATCTAGTTCACAAACTAAGTAGATGGGCACATGAATTTATTCTGACGTATCATAGTATGGGGGTGGATAGGGGGTTTTTTTTTTCTCGGGTGTCTTGAGATCAGCCCCGATTCAAAGATACCCTTGTAGAGCTTTGAACATTGCATCTGACATGATAATCCCCAAATTTATCTTCGATCACCAGGTCCAGATCTCCTAAATTTCCCAAAGTACCCCTTTTAAGAGGCTCCACAGACCGCTGCAACCGCACATCCCCTCCTTTCGCGCAAAGCGCGTTTGCCGCTATTATTCTCTATCTGGCTATTCTTAATTATACACTTTTGAATACCTTTTTCTTCTTTTTTTTTGCCGTCATAGCTTCTTCCTGATATACCCCTGTATTTCCAACAGGATTGAATCGATCTACAAACCATAACAGATTTTCACCATTTCAACATTTCATTAGTAACTAGCTGAAGTATTCGGAGTCTGCATCCTTTTTACTAGTTCTTAATCTAAACTGTGACCAATCAATGTTCTAAGTATATTATCCAAGACTTTTGTAGAGTCTGGACCTCAAGTAGATTCTTTGAACTCTTCATCCTAGACCTGAACTGCAATTAGAGTGCAGACCAATGCAAGTCAATGAGCTTTGACAATCAAAGTCTTTCTTTTCTTTTTTGTGACTTACGCACAGACGTTTAGATCAAAAGTATTCTGGTTGGATTGTATCTTCCCAGGTGGATCTCCCGTCTACTTATTTTTTGCATCAGTAGCGCTCCAGCCGAGAAAAGCCATAAAAGTCAACATAGTGTTTACGGAAATATTACCTCCAATGGGGGCTATGTAGGCTTGACAGGGCTGGACTTTGGTGGTGTACAGGTTATTTCTGACTGATCACATGGTTAGATTATGGTTCGGCCGGAGTAGAGGTTTATTTTGGACATTTCTTTGTTTGTCAATCAGAAATCATATAATTGAACCGCTGAATTAAGAATCTGAAGCTTTTCGAATGGGTGAAAACAAGAGGCCTTGCCTTTTTGGTAGTCTTAAATATTATATCTAAGGATCTGCATCCAGATATGGATGTCATCTGGGTATCGGCAGCAGTACTTGATGCAAAGGAGACTGCTGCGTCATCATACTCGGGTTGAGACATGAGTAAGATACAAAGAAATTGAAACAGAAAGTTGACGGATGACTCTTTGTGCCTAAGGCTACAACTTTTGGAATCTCTTGGGGCTCTTATTCAAGGCTAGAAAGGTTAGATTCAAGGGAAATTAGAGATAAAAAAGTTGATTATGGGTCATCCTGGGGGAATATATGGAAGATAACTAAAATTGATCTATGAAGTAACGCTCGGTATCTGGTCCCTGGTAGAAATAGTGAGATGTCTCAAATGGGGGGAACAAAAGCAAAAAAGCAAATGAAAATGCAGGCACCTGTTTGTTCTGCTCCTTTCGACAGGAGCATGACTCGAAGCTGGTAGAAGTCCTGTGCTTTAAACATTAGGAAATAAGGTATATGGTCATGTCACTCGCCTCGTGAAAAGAAAAAACTTTTGAATGGTCAACCGATGAAACCGAAAAGAAAAAAAAAAAAAAAAGAAATCGAGGAACAAATGTCCCAAATGCGTGAAGAAATTTTTTGTCGAGATAATACTCGAGTGAATCATGAGAAGCATTTATCCTCAGGCACGCAATCACTGACCATCTTCAACAAATAATCGACGCTCTATCCGTGCGAGCAGTATCAATCCTCGTCATCGAAATCCCAGTATTGCGGGATGGGATAGGTGCAAGGGTATCATCACCATTCGCGAGACGCTCCTCTCTCTCCAATTCCAATTGCTCGGCTTCCTTAGCGCGCTTGAGCTCCTGACAGAACTTGCTGTTTGCTCTGATGCGGTCACCATAGCGAATAAAAGCAAATGGAATCACAGAGACACCTAGACTGAGGAAGGCAATCAAACTACAAGCCCAAGGCACGCCGAGCCGGTTGAACATCGGCTTAGCTGCTAGCGGGAGCACAGCTCCCAAAATACTTCGTGTGCAACTTGCGGCGGACTGTGCACTGGCAGAGAGGGTCTCGTAGGCATCGGTCAGGTAGTTCAACATAGCCATGAAGATTAAAAGGTATCCCATTCCGAACGGGATGCCGGAGAGGAAGGGCACAACCCAGTGGATGTTTGGTGATGCTGTCCAACCTACCCAGAAGAGGGAGATCACGTATAGGGGTCCACCGATGCAGGCAAGAGGGAGTCTGCGGTATTCCTCGATAAAGGCCCAGCTTGCGTTGCGGGCCTTTGCTCGGGCTAGGTAGCCATCGTACCATAAGAAGACACCACAGGCAAGGATGGCGCCGATTCCAACTGTGTGGGGTTTAGAATCTACTCCTTTTCGGTCGGGAGACAGTATGGATGAACTTACTGGGTAGAAACATCAACCCAGACACACCAGGGCTCATTTTGTAGACACCTGTATGATGTTCGTCAATGTCAGTCTCCAACAGGGTTCTGCATATGTTAGTTGACGTAGATCACTAACCTTGGAAGATAATTGGATATGCCTCAAAGTAGAGGTAGAAGATTGCATAGGCCAGAGCAAGATATAATGAAGTCAGAGAAACGATATACTCGTGGATTATCATGCGGAAGGGTCGTGAGATCGTGATAATCATCATTTCTCGCACATTACGACTCTGAACATCCAATGGTGAGACGATGCTTGAATTGCCGGTGTCTTTGCGTAGCTTGTACGCACGACGCTTCAGAATGACCGGGGCATAGGTTTCAGGCATGAAAATAACCAATGGCAAGCTAGCGCCTGACAGAATGAGGCCAATCCAAAAGCACCAACGCCAGCTGACAACAGCTACGAATCCAGATAGCCAAGGTCCGATGATTGGCCCGAAGGTTGTACACTGTTAACAAATTAGCTATTGGAACCGACAACTGGAACTGAATGTATGAGGCAAGCTTACAGCCATGAAATAAGCCATCAGGCGTCCTCGCAGTGTTGGGTCGTCATGTACGTCGGCAAACAATCCACCGACAGTAGCGATAGGCGCCGATGCAACCATGCCATTGAATAATCGGAAGACAAGCAGAGATTCATACGAATCTGCGACAGCGCACGCCAGTGTGAATATCATAAACAGCACATAAGCGATGAGCAAAGGCGGCTTCCGGCCAAAATACTCGGAGCTAGGACCCCATAGCAATGGTCCTAGAATGTATCCGATGAGAAAGATGGAGATGGGCAAGACGAGGGCTGTTTCGTTGGTGATATCAAATTCTTCGGCGATTTGGGGAATAGCATTGCTACAAATTGACGAGCCGATAGTACTGTTCATGACCTGCATGACACCAGATGCGAGAACAAGAAACTTTCTCCTCTGTCGAACACATTAGTCTTATGTTCCTTGCATTGCTTCATTGTACTAGACACTATCGGACATACCGTTCTCCAGTTAACAGGGTTAGCTGGGTCATTAGGTCCGAATGAAACAATCGTTTTGGAGGCCACTCGTCGAAATCTAGAGTATGAAGGGTTTCCATATCGTTCTTGGATGGGCTCATGATCAACTTCTGAGTCTCGATCTTCAGAGTCATGGGAGTGTTGTGACTCATGGGAGGAAGCGACTACGTTCTCTATACAGTTTCAGCATTTTGAGCTCATAAGATAGAATATAGAAAGAATTGACAAACATAACTGACCTGTTTTTGACATGACCTTGTGTACATTTTCCTCGGCAGCCACATGGTCCGACATATTGACCTTGGCTTAACAAAATGGACGGTTTGTACGCTAGATGAAGATCTAGGGATGCAAAAGTGAAGGTTCAAAGTTGAAAAAATAAAACCCCCCCACATTCACAAATTGCTGGATGTTTGACTCAGACAAAATAAATCTTAATTTAATGTGGATTCAACTCCACATCCATAAAGCAATCTCTGCGGGTACGCCCTACTAACGGTACGCCCTACCTTTGACAAATGGAGTTTGTACGCGAAGCCAATCTGGAAAATATGGCGAGAAGTCTAGCCTTCCCTGTCAAATTAGGCATCTGGTGGTGTTGATCAGTAGACCTCGGGTAGGACGGCTTCCAGCTGTTTGGGCAAAAAGCAGGAGCTAAGAAGCTATTGCTAAAGTGGCAACTGAAAATGTGACTGGAATATCACATGGAATCTCGCATAGAAGACCGAATTTCCCAAACCCTTCTTAGACGGACGCTTGCGAAACTACGGCAGTCCAAGCCCACACAATCAAATACTGGACCGAATATTTCGACTGAATGCATCTAGTTATTTGGACATTGAAGAATTCAATGAGGGGTGGAGACCCTGCCGATCAATTGGTCTTGCATTAGCAATTGCGTCAGATAGCTTTCCCTGTAAGTCACGAATTGGGCAAGCTTGATTTGGGCTGACGAGTACTTGTTCCCATGATATGCGTAATTTGAATAGCGTAGTTGACCCGATCGAGCTAGAGCAAATTTTCTTTAGTAGGAAGCCCCCTGTAGCGGGGACGCCAATGCTTAGAACAACGGGAACGGGGAATTCCGCACAGTGTTCACTTTTTTGTTCTCGGAGGATGGAGCCGAAACTACTCCACATAGAGGAAGCAAATGAGGCCGTTTCAGGGGTATGCTATCTTTTTTGATTTGTAACACTTGGGCAACTCCAAGGCTCGGTTGTTGGGCTGGTGTCGGCTAAGCTAAAAATTCCCGGGCCAGTATCATTTCCGGTTGCGTGCTAATAGGCTCGGCTTTCTTGCCGATCTACCCTGACATCCTAAAAGTCATGAGAACAAGAACCTGGAAGAGTCTTCAGCCAAAATAAATTCAGTACTGTTTATATATGTACTCCGTAGGGATTGTTTTATGGTGAGTAGGATTTGATATCTCATCACCTGCCCCACATTTGATATTTGATTGGCTGAACGAGTTTATACTCAAGTGGACATCTATAGATCTGTATAGATCTATTATTATAGATCTATTATAGATCTGTCTACGGAATATATATAAGTCTCCAAATATCGCAAGTTAGTGTATTGAAAAGGCATTTTATAGGAACTATTCAACTATACATAGTAGTTACCACACCAAAAGAAGAAACCTACAAATACATATACTAAGCCAATCAACTGCCCGCCCCAATGTCATCGAATGGTCCCACTATAGTATCCCCAATACATCGTGCGCATTCGAAAAAGATGGTGGGAAGACTACAAATAGAGCCTCATGGTGCCTCAAAAATTCCTTGAATCATGTTCAATTCCGGTAGGAATGTATTATGGCTTAACTTTCAATAAGCACAAGTATCAAAGATCAATACGAATAAGTGTCTATCTATAAATGACCACAGGGGTATTCTGTCACATACAATCTTAGAGTTTGTATATGTTTTGGTTGCTAACAAATAATGACCAGTTAGTGCATGATTTCTATCCTAACTGAAACCCGCGCATCTTAATGAGTGGAACTTACTAAGGCCGACTAATTGCATTCCTCCCATCTGCTCGAGTGTTCACCCAAATACTAACACTCATAGCCGCGACTGGGAAAACTCCATAGCCACATTTATTAATGAGTACCGTCTCATGTCGCCACCCGAGAATATCTGTCCACAATTCCCCGGCATGTCTATCGCCAACAAACATGCGCTTTGTAGGATGCGCCACCCTTGCTAAGCATACAAGCAAGGCAGAGGTCTTTATAGTTGCCGTAGCGCACAAATCCTATATAATTTTAAGAACAATCAATGAATACCTAGAAAGCTTGCTAACCAATGCAGTTCCATCTATTGAGATAATCTCGTTGTTCGCCGTGTGCATATAGCTTTCGGGCACGCGTAAGTATGGGAATTATTCCGCTGCATGATGGCCCAGGTCTCCATAGAAAAGACAAGACTGTCCTTGACTTCGAAGGAGAATTAAAGAGTATGCAAAAGTTTTGAAAAATGGTGCGATAATAGTCTGGCAGAACCATACATTACCATCTCCGTTCCAGGAATGTATAGTGGAAAAGTATCTCACCTCTAATGATTGTCCGGGCTGCTGTGGAAATATAAGCTTAACTCAATTCATGCAGAAGAGCTTTAATATACCGTATCATGATTGCCAACAAAAGTCTAACGGTAAAAATGATGTTAGCGGCAATCCTTTCTCGCAAGATGTCTGGGTCTTACTAGTAGTAAGCTTCGTACAAATGGTCAATGCGATGAATCAGTGTCACTAATATTTTATACACTATAATAGATATAGGTAGAACCTGGGAGGTAGTGTCTACGAAGTACCTAGGTATGTCCGAACATCTCGGATCGGAACCAAGGAGCCAATCACCCAACTTTTCCAGAAGTGACTAAAAGAAACTGGGCTTTTGATGTTTTTTATTCGTGGAAAGACAGTTATCCCTGTGAAATGACTAAAATGACTAATGAATAGCGCCCAATTCAAGAAATGCATCAAAATGGCGGCCTTGGCTGGTCAACAAATTGCAAAATACGTACGCGTCCCCAGTGGAGATGTGGCTTGTGATTTGGGGCCACTGACGTTCTTCATAATTCTTTATGTTAATTGCGTAAAATATACAACATAGACAGCCTTGGGAGAATCTACTATATTGACAAATCTGTGATAGAATTCCCCTTCAACCTTGGAAGTCTCACTTCTCAATCTCCTCCATCATTCGCTTTGCGTCCTTTGCTGTTGTTCGCACTTCATCTCCAATGTCAACTTCCATTTTGACCAACTCCCCGAATCTTTCTTTCCAAAATTGCCACCTCTCCTTACAAAATCCATGTTGACCTTTCCAGAGCGGCCCACCTTTCCCGAGAGCGCCATCAAACCCTTCATTCCACTGATAGATGTCTGCCCCAATGATACTGATCCACGCGGCAGCAGCAAGGATCATTGCTTCTAGATCCCCCGCAGATAATTGGTCTGTTGGGGTTTCCAGTGCTTTGCGCAGGGTAATCAATGCGAACCAGGAGTATGTAAAGACAGGTTCTTGGGTCGCCATCAAACGGGCGGTGAATTTATCCCGGTTGATAATTCGGGAGATTGCATCTTGACGTGACTCGGGAGGTCCAGCAGGTACGCTTGCATTCCATTCGTCACGGACTTGCCAGCCAAGCATTGGTAGGTCTTTCCAGACTTGCATATCGTGGAGCAAAATGGAGTTTCCATTTGATGATTTCGCGTCCGGGAGTTTTGACAGTTGGACTAACACATTGACGAGTTTATCATGGTGCTCGGGAAACTTGTATGCACACTTGAATATCAAGTTCCATAGGCTGGTAATGCCATCCTCTGGCTCTGTATCTGCCAATGAGATTGAAGCCAAATATTCAGCGGCTTTCTGTGCGGATACATTATCGCTGAATAGATCTTGCAGGATAGCAAATCGAGGGGCAAAAATATCATCTGTGATGGCGACCATTTTGAAAGAATAGATAAAGGATAATATAATTTTCAGTCAAAGGCAGGAATTTAATCTCTTATCACTACGGAGTACTTCGTATAGGAACATTCCATAGTGGCCTCGTGGCCTTTATCTGCCGATCTCATTGGTTCTGATTTTCAACGTTGCATATAGATTTCTTGATTTTTAGTTATAGTCCTGAGCGCAGCCATACGGTAGTTATTTGTGACCATTGATTATTTATTATTTAGAATGGGGAGTCCGAAGTAGATATAAGTAGATATAATAGACCCTGGTGGCCGCAAATATCCACCTTGACAGACTATTATGTGTCCACTGTGACGTAGAGATGTATATTTTTCCCAACGTGGAGATATATTTCTTTCTATATATCCCATACTACTCCATACTCCGTATACACATAACAGTTTAAATACTATATAGCAATAAATCCCTAATATATCAAAATATCTAAGAAATGAGTTAAATCCCTTTCCGGTTGCTCATCCCGTCTATTCCCGACTTCCAACATTGAACTGGAATGACGTATAATAGTCAATCTCAACCTCCAGAGGTCAAAATTGAAAAAATTAAGATCAATCATACTTAACAATTGACAATGTAAAAAAAATAATAATTGCGAATAGACTGGTTGACCGGGCGATCGGAGGTTAGTGTGGCTACCGGCTCCCGCATTGGCCGCGAAAAGTTTTCGGGTTCGGCGGCCCCATCCCTTTCAAATCCTTTCTTCTTCTCTTCCACTCTCCCAAAGGCTTCAATTCCTCCCTCTCCTCTCTTAACGTTTCTTTTTATTTCACATTCAAAATGGCCGCCCCTATCGCCCCCAAGCAGGAGATGAGTTCTCTCAACCTGGTACGTTCAATGAACTTTGAAACCCTCTATGCTTTAACTGACTCAATTCCTACTTCCAGTACTCTCGCTTCGCTTTCGCCGGTGCCATGTGCTGCGCCATCACCCACGGTGCTGCTACTCCTCTCGATGTGTAAGTCTCTGCCACAATCGCCAACGCGCGATTAAGAATTTCCGCTCATATCCGACCCTCCATAGCGTCAAGACCCGTATCCAGCTTGACCCCGTTACCTACAACCGCGGTATGCTCGGTGGTTTCCGCCAGGTCATCCAGAACGAGGGTGCTGGCGCTCTCCTGACTGGTTTCGGTCCTACCGCCGCCGGTTACTTCCTCCAGGGTGCCTTCAAGTTCGGTGGATACGAGTTCTTCAAGCAGCAGTCCATCAACGCCCTTGGCTACGAGACTGCCAAGAACAACCGCACCGCCGTCTACCTCGCCTCCGCCGGTGCCGCTGAGTTCATTGCTGATATCGCCCTGTGCCCTCTTGAGGCCACCCGTATCCGTCTTGTCTCCCAGCCCACTTTCGCCAGCGGTCTCCTCCCTGCCATGACCCGCATCCTGAAGGAGGAGGGCATTGGTGCCTTCTACTCTGGATTCGGACCCATCCTGTTCAAGCAGTAAGTTTTCCTCTAGTGTTTGTTTCGTATAATTCCCGCTAACCTCGGTTTCAGGGTTCCCTACACCATGGCCAAGTTCGTCGTCTTCGAGAAGGTCTCCGAGACCATCCTCGCCAACGTCAACAAGGAGACTCTCTCCGACTCCGGCAAGACCGGTATCAACCTCGGCTCCGGTCTCATCGCCGGTCTCGCCGCCGCCATCATCTCCCAACCCGCCGACACCATGCTCTCCAAGATCAACAAGACCCAGGGTGCTCCTGGTGAGGGTACCGTCACCCGTCTGATCAAGATCGGAAAAGAGCTCGGTATCCGTGGCTCTTACGGTGGTATTGGTGCCCGTCTCTTCATGGTCGGCTCCATCACCGCCGGTCAGTTCGCCATCTACGGTGACATCAAGCGTATGCTCGGTGCCACTGGCGGTGTTGAGATCGGTAAATAAATGACTCGAGTCTAATATGCTCGGGAGGATTATAGAGACTACCCTTAGAATTATTTTTGTTTTACGCCTTGTCCATCCCCCACACACGATGTACAATATTTTGTCTCATTTCCTTTCAAGAACAAGCTCGCCTTTTTGTCACATTTACAATTATTTTCATTCCCTTGTAAAGCAGAAGCCTTGGAGCAGTATTCATAGTGGTTCTCGGTCATGTATCAATACCTTGAATGCAAAACAGTTGGGTCTCAAGACGCAAGTTCATAGATGATGACAGGACTACCTGCAAGACCAGCAATGAGACCTGATCACTGGTCATGTCTGGGTTGGAGAGTGTTTACTTGTTAGCCTGAGGAGAGTTGAGCGTGCCTTCTACACATCTAGAGCAAACGGTCTGAGGTGGAGAAGCAAGAGGGCACAAAATGAAAAAAAAACTATATCACGGCTATAAACGAACGCTAGGCCTCCAGGCAAGAGAACAACCAAAAAGGGGAGGTCCAGTGGTGCGGCGCCTTGTCGCTTGTCACAGCGCCATGTCATCCAGCTTGGCCACAGGCCCATTCCCCAAAGAGCCCAGGTATGGACACCTCAATTTATGTTCCGATGGAGCAAACACAGGTATAAAGTTTGCATTGTACTACTTCAAATGGCCTTCTACAAAGCAATATCCCTCACAGAGAATCCATCCACCCCAAGGCTATCCTCCTTCTCTACCACAAAGGAGTGATATCCGGTATAATACGCATATCCCTCGACAGAGACTCGAACACTCTGCTTGTCTCCTCCACTTATGCCAGCATCATCAAAGACAGATCCAACAAATCCAGAAAGACCTCTATACGCACGAGTCACTAGAGAGTTATAGATCCTCTTCTCACCTCTAGGCAAAGATCCTTTGGCATATGCGAGGGCCACCCTCGCAGCAACACAGCTTCCAGTGGGAGAACGGTCAATCTGCTGGTTTGCAAAGAAACAGAGTCCCGTTTCCTCACTAGTAACATCCAACTGCGCACGAGCAGCTGCCGTTCCCTCTGAGGCACTAACATGTCCCAGTCGCGTATCAGTGATCATAATTCCGTACAAGAACCCCTCCTCAGCAGTCCGACCATCCTGAGTGAGATATTGCAAATCTGGATTTGTAACCACCGCCGCCTTGAGTAACTTCGTCGCATGATCCATATCCTGCAACTTAACCTCACCAAGGCCACTCGGGAATCCCAATTCCTCGGCACTAATCATACAGTAGTACGCACCCCCATAAGCAAAATCCGCTGTAACAGCAGTCTTGCCACGAAGCTCAGCCCAGCGGTACTTCTCGGGCAGGGGAATTTGCAAGGAGATGGCCGTAGCAAACGACGGCACCGACACGAACGAAACAGGCCGTGACGCATCCGACTTCCCACACTCCAAGATGGGGACGGTAACCTCGACCACGCCACATGGTACATGCAGATTGAGAGTCGTTGTGCGGGACACAGCGTCATATTTCAATTCCTTCCGACGAGGAAACACGTTCTCGTCAACATCGACAAGGAAACGGCCCAGTGCGATAGTTGCATGTCCGCACATGGTCGAGAACCCTTCGTTGTGCATGAACAGAACACCTATATGGGCCTTTCCTGAGCTGACAAGCTCCGTTTCTGGGCGTAAGATCGCGCCGTACATGTCATAGTGGCCGCGCGGTTCAAGCATGAGAACGCGGCGGAATTCGTCGAATTGCGCTTTTGCTTGCGCTCGTTGTTCGAGGAGTGTCCCTGTCATAGGCGGGATGCCGTTCCAGATTATTCTTGTCGGCTCGCCTGCTGTGTGCATCTCGACGCAGGTTATTGGTCTAATAGGACCTGCGGCTTGGAGGGGTTGTGGGATTTCCATGTTGCGGGGAAGTGAGAAGTGATTTGGGGATTCAGATTGTAGTTTAGAGGCACGTTTCTGTTCTTGTCGATGCGGATTGACAGTGGTTTTATATGAACTCCCGAGGTCGGGATACGGCCCCGAGAATACTAGATACCGCTTATCCACATGGTGTGGGTGCTTGTCAAATCAAGGGCGTGGGGATCATTTTTAACTCATGCATTTCCATTTGTAGCGGATATATTGTTACACTTTCTATTTTCTTGTATTTATTATTATACACGTAGACTTCTGTTTGTTTCTTGGGATGTTGGATGTTGGAGGGCGCTCTATTCACTTCCGCTTATATAGACCACTAGCCAGGTCCTAGGTATCCTTTCTTCTTATCTATTCTAGTACGGCGGTTAATGTTATAAAAGAGTCAGGCGAGTGGATTAGAGTTGAGGTCTCTTGGGACTAATACCGCTAATTCCCCAATCCCCGTTAGGTTTTTCAGCTGGAGCGCCCTGTGACTTCCGACACAGTTTCTGTCTGGCAGTGATTGCAAAGAGAGAAATAAGGCTAAATCAACCCTCGTGTATTTAAGCTAACTGTATACCGAACAACACTACCTATCCATTCGTCCATTGTGCCGCTGACGGCATTTCTAGTTGGAATTGACCGCAAGTTAGCTCTAGTCATGCGGCCCTAGTCCGACTCAGACTCGAGCATACCAAGGAGATCAATGGTACAGAACCAACGGCTTATCTATCAACATCGGCTACCAAGTGCTAGCACCGCATTAGACTTCTCAGAGTCGGCTACTACTTTATTGTCCTATGCGAGCTTTAGAGAAATGTCTAAGGGCGTAGGGAGGAGCTCGTAGGGGACCAATTAGTTAAGGTTATGTACAAACAGAGGCAATTAATGGTATTGTAAGAAGTGTATCCTGGCCAATTTAGACCAATCCTATACTTTAGGGGACTAATAAACCTCTCTCTTTTAGGAATCCGTTACACCAGGCGACAACTTTAGGTATGAACCCACAAATATGTATAGTGCTCGGCATCCTTGTTGAATAAAGTAGAGTCCTACCATTTACGTGTGGTGTTCTGACAAGTATAGTTTGCCTGAAGTATTCCGAGGGGATCATATTGGGATAATAGGTTGTTAGCTCACGATATGATTTCCGGAAGTTCTACTATGGCCGAAACATATATCGACCCCACGCCACTTGCTGGTATAATATCAAACAAACTCTTAGTATATTCATTTATCTGAACATAATGAGAGATACCTCATATCCGCATGATTCGAGTTTTGATATTGTCTTGGCAGCTCATGCAAAATCTAAGAACGCCGCTAAGCCACACCATCCTCCAATGTAATCCAACCATCATTCTGAGCCTAACTGGGCCAACAATGGAGCAAAAAGAAAACCAGGAAACCAAAAAGTTGACCGACGCAGGGATCGAACCTGCAATCTCTTGATTCGTAGTCAAGCGCCTTGCCATTGGGCCAGCCGGCCTCGTTATGGACTCTTTGGCGAGAATGTGCATAAGTGGAGGCAAACTCTTTAGGGCAAGACCCACTTCACAAGTCCGCATTGGGAGTTTTGTGTCGTTTTCGGAACCTTGGAATTCTCCGTATATCACATAATTCAAACATGATCCCGAGGTAGCCAGCATAAAATTAATTTAGCGCTGGTGAGCGAAATTATTCCCAGCCATACTTGGACTTTTTCGCAGATATGGGAAGAGCCCTAGAGGACTGCAGCTTGTTTAGAGCCCGGGATGCCAGGCATCTGTCTTCTTTGGGAAATAGAGCACTTGAATACATAAATCAGCATGGAGTAGGTGAGAGAGGCAAGAAACCGTTCTAATTAGGAAGGTTCTATGAAGGCAGTGATACGTCTAGGCTACCATTTACAGTCTCCAATCACTCCCCGGGGAGGGAAATTGCTGACCAACCACACTAGCAGACTGCTATATATATACATGTATGCGCTGGGATTTGCAGTTATGATACTCGAGTGTGGTAATAGATCATGTTATGTATGTCTGCTCGGATATAATATCGGTCGTTTTCAGATCCACTCGTAGATATCCGCATACACACACATATATATGTATGCATCTGCATCGCCATTGAGCTCAGTGGCAGGGGCCTGAAGGCCTGGCATAACTCGAAGCGAAACCTAGATACATCCCTAAACACCCAAGCCCCTAGCAAGGAATAGTTTGACCGGCGAGTCAAGTCTCATCAGCCAACACATCGTGAAAGCGGCCTCCTGTCAAATTACATCAATAGGCGTGAGTACAGAGGCTACATCCGGTAGTTTCGTACGCATGGTACATTCTGCTATACTCTACGTTCCTTGGGTATTTTGCTGGTAAAAAACAACTAGGTCGATTTAATTGAAAGTTCTATAGCCATCATCTACAACCCTACGGTGCAACGATCCGAGTGAGTCGTATACCAACACTACTCCCACAGCTGTATAGTAGACCCAGCTTCCCCATATGTGCAATGCCGGTCATATACAACACAGGTCTTATCGAATAAAAGACACCATAGTCAAGACTTTCATCTCATCTCGCTCATATCTAATATAGAGAGCTCTTCACTTCCACACCTATTCATCAGTACACTTCGAGGTCTCTATTTATTTTCTTGACACCGCGGTAATCAAAGGTAGTATCTATCTATAGATATACCAACCCATGCACATGTCAATTGGTCCATTTGTTGTACGTCACGGCGAGGAAGACTGGGTTTAATAAGGGCGGAAGACATTAAAAAGATATCTCGTTGCAAATCGAGATAAATGTGTTCGTTCATAGACAGAAAGACAAAAAATGCTCACACTCGGAGTCGAACCGAGGATCTCATCATTACTAGTGATGCGCTTTACCACTAAGCCATGCGAGCTTTGATTGGTTGAAATCTTTCAGATCTGCTTCAGCTTCGAATTGTAAAGATGCACTTGATGGAAAACACAGCCAACAAATATTGAATGAACTTGACTCCCTGGGAGTAATATTCAGTTGTCCATTGGCCATTAAAATCCAGGTAGAGTTGGTCCACATCAGCATTTTAGATCTACATACTCCGTACTGGTAAGTTATGTCCATATCGTTTGGAAGTCGTTATAACACGATACTAAATGAAACGTTAAGAATATAAAGCAGAAAAAATATACTCGCGATTTGCAATTGGTATCAGGTTCCATTTGGAAAACCAGTGAAATTCAAGGACCGTGTTCAATACCGAATTCCTCATTAGGGTTGACAGCTAAGGACCTACAGAACAAAGACTTTAAATAGGGAAATAATCTAAGATATAGTCGTGGAGATAAATATATAACTAGATTGAATACTCTAGCAGTGGATAGGTAAGTGTACTAGAAGTCTCCCACCAAAGTAAAGTAGTATAAGGTATCTGATCCTAACCGGCTATTAACCTATACTAAAATCGCAGAACCCATTAATATAGTGCCGAATACCAATTTTGTCCCGTGCAATCACATTAACATCCTTTTAAAGTCCATAATCGGTATCTAGCACTAGCTTCGCTTTCAAGCAAGCTACCATAATTTCTGCTTCCACTACAGCCACATTGATAAACCCATGGACTTCATGGACACTTCAATTTGTCGATACTCATCTTGTTCACTTCAACCCGAACCTCAAGTTTTCGCTCTCACTGCACCAAGTCCTATCTCTGTGACAGCCTCCTGTAACAAAGAATAAAATATGTAGCATCCAATCAGCTCGCATGGCTTAGTGGTAAAGCGCATCACTAGTAATGATGAGATCCTCGGTTCGACTCCGAGTGTGAGCATTTTTTTGCCTGTGTTTCATTCGGAATATATTTTTTTAATCGATGTGGGCCATAGTAAGTAAGTGCCCCCTAGTTGGCGGCTCCACACTATAGATGCTACGGAGTACTTATTAATTACATAGAAAAGATGTATCCCATGTAGTTTGTACTTGTTGATATAGGTCTAAGAGGCTCTATACTCCAAGAAAGGCAAACGAAACAAAGCTGTTCTCTCTCACATTTCTGGTCTCGATGATATAAGCACAAGTGAGACCTCCATGTAGCTAGATATACCGCCCCGTATACCGACTGTTAGATACTGGTTCTGCTAGTCCAAACCCCCCAATATAGTTAGTAGACACGTGATGCATAGCAGCTAGAACATACCCAAGTGCGATGTTACTGGGATGTAATTGACAAAAAGGCAATTCGTGGATTATGTGTAACCCACATACCGTGGGACACGTCCTTGCATTCAACTATCTGAGCTACCTGCAAGACGGCGAATGAATACGCCCACCTGGGCAGAGGGAAATTATCTGTTCCACCAACAAATACTACACCAATCAAATAGATGAATAAAGAATAGATCCGGCCGATGAACATATGCTCCGTGATAGATAGGCCCAGTAAGAGGCGAAGTGCCAAATGGTAGGGAAAAAAAGGTGTCTAGTCTAGCTGTTGGGAAAGCAACGCAAAAGACAGAAGACGAGAGGCGAAGAGAAGAACGAACAAACCTTATGCTTCGGGAGCACGGGACGTTCACTGTAGAGAAGGGTAACCCTCGAAGATGACGAGAAGTTAGATGCTTGGTTGGAGGTAGAACTGCATACTGCAATATTAGGTCAGAGACCACAGGCACTTGGAGGAACTAGTATCACTTTGATGTTGGGGACCAGCCCCGGCGGGATGGAGGGAGCAAAGGAGAGGCACGGGATCGCTCAGGCGGGAGTCGCGGAGGTAACTTGGCGTTTTGCGGCTCCTTCGGCGGGACCCTGATAATCGGAGTTGGTATTAGTTATTCTAAGTTGTCGACATCCTGGGGGTTTGTCTCGCAGGGCGTTGGATCGCGGATTCCAGGGTTGACGTTTCGCCAAATTAGGCAGATCTCACTCGCTTCTGCACACTTACGTCCAACTCGCCAATGCTGCGTTTCTGGCCGGCTGTCTCTGACCGTTTGGCAACTTTCTTCTTTGGTCGAGAGGCCCGAGTCTCACCGG